AGCGTTTGCATAATGAGGGCTCATCTGTTATTGAGGTTGACTTGTGTAATATCTCCACAAGACGACTCAAGAGCGGGTTCTACCATTTCCACAACATAATAAAACTTCGATTTCTTGCCGCCTCCCTCTATAAAATCAATCAACTTGACCGATAGTCTTTTGCAATCGTGAAGGTGAGTGACTAGACACTAACTGCAACAATGATGTGAGGGTTTGTCCATTCTCTATACACCTGGACGACAAGATACTTGTACAAGTTAGTAAACCGTTCAGACATGACTTCATGTTTTCGCATGAAACTGAATGCGCTAGACAATTGTCACACATGTTGACTGAGTATGGACGATTTTTGTCAATACATGTGAACTGAAGTTGTACACACATGACAATCAGATTTCATCAACTGGGTTTCGACTAAAATCAGATTTGTTTTCAAGCGCGATTCATGTAAGATTATGCCATCACACGTACCATAAATAAACCCGAAGTACAAAATCAAATAAATGTACATGAACAAGACATAATTCCGCAAATGCCATCAACAACTTTTACTGTACTTAACAACTGGCACGAAATTGAATCAGGAAACCAACGAACGAACGTTTATCCACAAAAATGAGTTTCCAGTAGCCCAATATATAAACGCACAAACTCTTTCAGATTAATCCACGCAATTCGAATCAGCTAAGGACGAAAAAACAAAGAGGCAGATTAAATTTACAACAATAACCTACACATTTGTAGGGAGCATAATAACAGACAAAGCTAACCACTCTTTCTCTTTGTCTATATGAAATTCAAACTAATATCAAGTGCTACGATCAGTAATTGCTGATATCAATGACAGTCTACAGAATTCGACAATTGTTCGACCTAATAAAGTTGCTATGTTTGACAGAACATGAAAATTAATGATTAGTGGATTTTTAGAAAGCTGGCAATCAAGTTAATCAGCAGTCACTCATCATACTAAAATTAGTGCAATTTATGAAACAGAAGCGTCATTGGATGAAGTCAGACTAAAACGGGCGACAATAGAATGTTACGGTCAACGACAAACAATGAATGTCGAGTTCGAAAGATATCATATGCTAGTAATAAGCGAATAAGTTTTCTTCACCTACTAATAGCTAAAATTGTGTGGTTTACTCTTGTCTAGATGAACAATGAAAAACGTCTATCTGAAACAGTGTTTTTGTGTGTTTTGATTGTGCCTGGTATTGCAAATCAACACTTATAAATGTTCGATAATTCCGTACATGTAATTGAACTCTCCGATAATGTAAACCTATATTATGTGCGATATGTTTTAGCTCACTGTCTATAAATGTGTATCATATTCGATTTAGGATGTAATTAGCCTAAGAACGAGTGAGAGTATAACAAAGAGTGTATGTGTAGCAGTGTATTTGAAAACAATCACAAATGCGACACGCTATGTAGTTACACAACGGTAAGTGAGTTGAAGGTCATTTACCAATTAAACCGTTGCAGTCTTTTAATGACAAATATACATACTGTGAAAGATAGACAAAATAAATAAAAAATATATTAAAAACGTTCTACAAAATACGTTTGTCAGTCATATCTCCACATAGCTCCCCCCAGAGTGTTCGGGGATTACACTGGTTATAATAACAACAAAAAATGTAAGAATATGATATATACATATACACAAAAATAATATTCACAGTTATAACCAACAAAAATTGTGTAGATGGATATGCGGTAATAAGATGCAGTTTGTTATCGTTTGTGAATAGCAGTGATGTAGCGTAGCGTAACGAACACCAAAAAAAATAAAAACACTGTCATTTAATGTCTTGTTTGGCTAACAATGATAATAATGTGCAAATGTGCTTGTGAACCACAAAAAAAATTAAACTGTTTTTTAGTGTACAACTAATAAATAAGTAAAAAGAGTTTACTCGTTTATTAGTGTAACAAATATGTTTATAGAAAAAAAGTATGGCGAGGCGAATAATTTTGGCAAAACGTGTTTATGTACACTGTGAAAAGAAAAGGTTTTTGGGTTTAATTGATAGTGATGATTGTTTTGATTGTTCTTGATTTTTATACGGCGAAATGTTCGTTGCACCTTGGTATTTTATAAGTCTCGAAAAACGCGTTAAACAAAAGGATGTAATGCTAACTTTTTCATCCTCTTCTTGTTTCGTAGCGAATGATAGGAGTAATTGTTTTTTCGCAGTATTGTCTTCTTTTTCTTGAGAAACTTCTCAGAAAGCTGGTTTTATTCGGTCTGTAGAGTGGTGTTGAGTCGGAATCGACTATGTAAGCCACTACAAGGATATGCGTACCAAACAAATCAGAAGGCGAATGTTGAACGTAACCTGATTTATTTCGTTGGAGATCTCGTCGTATCGAACGAATACCAAGATCATGCCAAAAAATGGTACAAGTGGAAGCAGGGGAATAGAGTACTTGCGAACAAAGCCGAAAACTCCGGAACATTGATGGAAGGTAATGGAAGCACGAAATGGCTGTAATTAGTACAGTACAACAAAAGCACATTAAAACAAGCACTGGTTCAGTTGGTTGTAATGGTAATTGTTCTCATTAAACCAGTCGTGTTCTCGTGATACAAGTGAGTCACAACAGTAGCCTCCCGCTAGAAAGGGTTCGCACTTTCGATAAATAGCTGTTTATATCATTAGACTGATCAGCTGACGAGCGAATGTAGGACGGAATAATTGGCGGAACAGGAAAGCGATCGTTGATCGTCGAGTAGCCAACGGTCTTTTTTGGAGAACGGTATCAAAAGCGATGTGCTGTATTTGTTGCTAGAGTTAGCATGCCACACCAGAGTGGTTCGTAATCAGAATCTAAAGATTGCGTTCGTAGGGGTGCGGACCAGAAAACGCTGTAAACGAAGGACGAAATCACGTTGGGCCGAGGAACCAGATGCGATCGTATCGACCGAGTTCAAGACCAAACGTACGCTAAACATTGAAAACAAAAATATCGACTGAGTGCATTGACAAGTGCGTGGGTGGCCACTCCAGCTTTCGCCAAAGTTGACTAAAATCGTTGATGGCAAACGGGAATGGTCGGATGCGTGTGCTCAGGATACGAAAAGAAAAATCAAAAAAAAAGAAAAGTGTAGTATGCATGTAGTACAGGAATGATTCTATAATGTATCTGTTGTTGACTGTGCAGCTAGTCGTGGAAGCGTATGGGCAACCGTACTCGTCTACCGGAACAAGAGACCATAGTCTCGTTCACATTTTGTGAGCCTGCACTCTCATCCGAAATCAAGGGCGGCATGGTCTGCTGATCTGAACGTGGGACTTTCGTATCGTCCGTAGATGGTGCAGACGACGCGTGCTGTTTACTGAAACGCGGGAAAGAGCTCTCAGATGTATCTAGCGTGAGACGTGAAGAGGATTTAAGGATCCCGCCAGTAAGTTTTGGTAGGTCCAGAATTGTATCTTAGGTTATCAGATAGGGTAGTTTCATCGACGTGTGCTGGTTTGAGACGATCAAGGCTGCAGATCTTGACTCCACCATGTCCATCAACCTTGTAGGTCTTTTCGTGACGAGCGATCACGTGAAAAGGGCTTTCGTAAAGTTGTTGCGTACAGAATCTACTCGTATGAAAGCATGTGAACAGGTGTATAACTCTCGAGGGAGAACGGCCTGTCGATGTACTATTCGAGTTGACCTCGGAGTCAGCGTTTGCATAAATGCAGACAGTTGTTGGACGTAGTCTGATTTATAGAAATCAGATCCGCTCTGTCGTGTGAAGAATTCTTCAGGCAGACGCAATATCTTGCGGTGTGGGATAGGTGAGATATATGAATGAGCTGAATCTATAGATAGCCATATACAAAATGGTGTATTAAAATAACAGAAGATTGATAAATTGGTTAGTTCTACCATTAAAAAGTACATAGATGATACATGCAAACGTTTGAAGGAATTAGTTGGTCAAATGAATATCAGTCCACAGAAAATCTTAAAATTTATTTTTTTGATTGTGGAATTGGAATTAGAAGCAGAGAAATAGACGAGGTTGGTATAAACATTATCACAATTTGTATAGTCATATACTATAAATTGTAAACCAGTTGGAATTTTTCTTTATAAGTGAACAAAAAGCGAGAAGGTTATTTACGAGAGTTTAAGAAAGTAATTCATTAGATGATGCAATGCCTCGAAACGCCCTGATATGGCTGAGGGTGAGGAGATTCCGTTCTACCTCTCACATCGCCACGTGCATACAATCATTGCCTTCTCGCGGAATTATTATTGTTTACGAAATTCAGGGAATGAAAAGCGAATATTCAGTATTGTAACCGGGTTGTTGAATATGGATGATCCAACTAGAGGAGTTAGAAAACCATGTTTCTAAACCAATGGTGTACATGGGCTCCAGGATTCTGAAGGTAAAAATGGTGTGTGAACCAATTATTGGTCGATGCCTAACACGATGCATGTACTGACGTTGCTAAACTATCTTGTGGATCAAACAGTATTTTAAAGGCTCCGTGTGTGCCCCTTATAAAACCACCCACTTTAGTCTGGAAACCCGAACAGCATCACAGTCAACAGACAAAAGAAGTGACCTTTATGGCGCCTGTGCATAAGTGTTTAATTAACAAGCCTATTGCTATTGTTTTGGTGTTACTGAGATCTATGTCCAACTGTTACTAATCTCATCTACTATTGACTTTTATGTTAAACGCAAGATATGTCTTATTCATGTTTTTAGATTGACACCACATAAATCTGTTGGTCAACCTTTCCAAAATCACACAGATTACATCAAAATGTCCATGTCCAATCCGATTGTTGTCGAATGAAGAAAGCTGAGGATGATTTAGAATCTATTCAAAGTTTCCAATTTAGGTATCACTATGGACAATCCAGTGCGAAACTGAATTGCGTGGTTGACACGCATTTAAAGCAAGATAAAGCAGTCAGTTCAGAAAGATACCAAATAAGTTAACTATAAACTTTGTATACCCACCGAACGTCATTTAAATGGACTTACGTTTATGTTTTTTCTTTTTATGACTTTTCTTTTGCCGCTTCTTCTTAGCTGATTTCCGGACAAAATACTGAGCCATAGGATCTTCAGAATGTATTTGTGACTTCAAATGTTCTGTAAGGTCTTTATCACTAGCATATCGTGCCAGTGGTTTTGAACTTTCATATTCCTGTTCCTTAAGTTTATTATAGGTTTCTTCTAGAGTTTTGATACTATTAGAGAAGAAAGGTGTATCTTATTCAAACGACTAGACAAACCCTTTATTCCATACATCGTATCTGGCTTCCAACTCTGCCTCCTTTTTCGATTTGTCTCCTTGTTTTGACTTTTTGTCTTTGAGTAGAGTTGCTTGTCGAACAACTTTAGGTAATGTCTCGACGGACGATGGATCTGAGGGAAATTCAAAGCCATCCGCATCTGTTTTGTAGAGTGCATCTAGAGTTTTGGGGAGATCACCACCAAAATAGAAACAATATAGTAACAGACCACTATCTAAATACACGGACTGCTTTACAAACTTAATGTGACAGTAGGTTGACAATCAGAGCAAACCGTTTCAAAATGAACAATTTTAAAGTCAATCATCTGTTGTAAAACAAACCAAACTAATTGATGATTATGTGGGACTACAAACAAAAATATATTAATAAGAGATTGTCATAAATTCGTACTGTTCTGAAAAATAATTGTCTAGGTTAAAGGATTCCAAACAGTTAAATTAATGCTTCTTTCGGGTTGACAGAACTGAGTAACCTTACAGACGAAAATATGCAAGTAATCTGGAACGTGATATGACTCGGCTATACAATTACGCACAATGATAACAGAGTGTGTGGGCATTCTTGTAGGACGGAAATCTCCTTAATGTGAAAAACCTGCTCACAGAGACAGGTCGTATCCGTGGGGTGTAACTGCCTCACGAAATCAAAATCTTGTCAACTCCGACTTCAAACTATGTGAAAATGAATATGTTACTCACTGGAAACTGGCGAGCACCCTTTTCATCGTTATAATTATTGTTTGAATGTCTTTGCTAATTAATTTCAATGGACAACCAATAAGATAAAGATTATCAGGGCACTTTCAAAGTATGATATCAGTTTTCAAAAAGCTATGATTGGTGATGTTCTTTTGGATCGACGAATATGAAAGTGGCTTGAAACGTTAACGACTAGATATAAATTTTCATGTGACGTCATGTACCATTGCCATGATAATTCTCCTAGTGGTTGTCATTAGAAACTCATGCTACATATATGGAAACGAAGGGGCATAAGAGTGGGTGGAAGCTGTGATTGAAATAAATTCAGTGAATAATTTATCAAAGGTCAATACGTGTTAGACGCATTACCCTAATCACTTGACATGACTTTGAAATATCTTAAACATTTGTCCGAAAAACTGGGCGTGCCAGTCGGATATTCTTTTGTATACGTTTGAAATTGTGTGAGGTACTTTTCGTCAAGAGATAAGAATTGTCAAGTCTTTAAACCAATGACAATGAGGTTAACTAGACTCACAATTTCGAAAATCCAAGGGCAAATTAGAGTGAATTAAGAAACAAGTGTAACGACATCTTCAAATCTATTTAGCCACATTCATTAACCGAGTATTGAACGGATCCGTTCCTTGCTTATGTATGATCTTTATACGAATCAGCAGTTCCATTCGAACTTTATTCTGTTGCGTGATGGGAACAATGAGAAAACTTGACGAATATTATTCATAATCGCATAGCTGACTTCAGATTTTTAATTAGGAAAAGAAACTATACAGTAACAGTTTTGATGCTGAACACAATATACTATCAAGAATTGACTTATTTTGGAGACTTACGAGATGTATTTCACTGTGATGTCGTTAACTACCTTCTGGTTCTTCTTACTACTCACAGATTTGAGGTAGCGTCTCAAGTAATCAGCTTTACTGTACTTCGAAGTGCCGTTTGTAGTCACTTGAAGTTTTGGGAACCATTGGCGTATACATCCAGAGTGTTCAGATATTTCATATGGTTTTAGAAAGGAATAGAAGTTTTGACCTAACGGGCTTCCGTGTCTAGTAGCAGTGGATCAGCGATTTCTCCAGGCAGGAATATAGATATAATAACTATATTAGAGGAAAATGAAATTGGTAGATCCTGGTAAGATATTATCCATAGTCCTTAGAAATAGGTCAAGTTGCGTCTTGAAGTAATTCTGAGAAGTTGCTAAGACTTGCTCAGTTGGCAACAACATTCCAGTGTTGTAGAACTCTTAATGAGTAGAAATTGTGTATACTGTGTTGTGTTTCCAGTTTCTGGGTGTTACCTCTTAGGTTTTTGTTGGAGCTAAATTTAAGTAGATGTTTAATGGGATTTCCAGAAGTGATCAGTATATTGCAAGACATTAGGTCGCCTTTAAGATGCCTGCAATCTAATGGTTAAAGGTTTGGTGATTGTAGGGCACGTTCCATAAGGCTTGAATTTAACTCTCCGAGTTGATTTCGTGTCTTGCCTTTGAATACGCTCCAGACTGTCATTGTCCATTTGCAGTGTGGGAGAAAATACTATGTACTCGCACTGTAAATAAATTCCAGTTAGCAACCGACGTCTGTTGGCACGACATGCTTCCATGGTTGCAGCCGCCATATAGTCTGAGAAAATTATTGACATTAGCCAGAGACTAAAATATCCGTCCTTCTTAGCTAGATTCATCTCTTGTTGAGCCAGTTACTTTTGGAGCTTTAAAGATTGCCTGGTGAATTTCCATTCTCTAATATCAGAGATTGTGTTATCCAGGTCCATGTTCCCGGTACACCTTGCACAACTATATTACTTCCTCGACAACTTCGCGAGATTACTTAGGAATACTTTGGATGAGCTTGCGCTCAAAATACGCCTTATCAGACAGTATTCGTACATTCCTATCTGATTCAAACAAAAGAATAGTTAGTAGGGTGTCTTCTACATCCGTAGCGTTACTGGGTGTTGCATAAAGTAGACTTGGGTGATTTTGGTGCTTAAATTCTTTTGTCAACGTGAGCTGTGTGAACGTCAAAGGCTACATTTTGAGAAGTTCGAGTCACTTGTTTAACTTTTACCAAGGCATCCTGTCATGTTTATCCTGAAGACTGATTATGAGAAAACTATCACGAACCGTTATTGATTTCTAAGGTTTTCGGGTTCGTTCAATTTGAGGACCCTGCTTTTTGAGGGTCGAAGTGCTTTGCTAATTCGTAGGCTATTTGGTGAGCGGATGGACATTTTTGAGAGTTGACTTTGGGGCCAAACTACCAGTTGATTTCTGTATAATACTTGAGAGTCCCAACTTCTTAGAGAATGACTAGTGGTCTTTTTTCAGTTTCTTTCACAGAGTCAAATGACCTATAGAGCTTTTGGAAACTGCTGTTGCATTCAATGATCCTGTGTTGTGAGACCCAAGTTTGCTGAGGGTGTATATTGCCGTTGAAGTTACGATGGTGCTGGTTTTCAGCATGTCAACACTAGTGTTTATTCATCGATAGTAGAGCTGTCGAGACCACTCTTCTTGTTTTCATTGTGCGCCATTGTTTGTCTAACCCTAAAGCCTAGCCGCATTACAATGAAATCTATCAGAGCTGACTAATCGGTGACAGATACACAATTTATAACTCACTCAAACATGTATTATTGAAGAGTCGCTCATTAACCATACAGTTGATTTCCATGAACTCAAACAACGTATTTGTAAAATATGCCATATTAGATAGAATTCTTGCCACATTTATCAACAGACAGATGGGTGTACGCACCTCCTTTTAGAAGCATTATGACACCGTGGGCTAAAATACATTCCATTTTTTCTATATAAAGCAGTAAAAAGACTCATATTTCTTACGTCCTGCCCAACCACGATCTATGACACAGTCTAGAGACTGTGAAAATACATATATACATTGCTTGCAGTAAAAGGCCGAAAACCATTATGTTGTCAGTTTTTTACAGTACGTTATACTTTATTATGCAACACGTTCACAATAACTATCCGTAACTTTGACTCTATCATCAATTTCAAAGTCTAATAATACTATTACTTGACATTGAAGAGCTTCATCAACTAATCTCTGAAATTACGCAACCAGTGAGGACCGTTATTATTAATGATAATAATAATTCATTCTCAAATAACAGTTTGTTACATGAGGCATGCCAGTTTACAGACAAGATCGAATAGATACAAATGATACAATATCCGCTGTAGTAAATTAATTAGCTGAGTTGATAATTTATAAGATATGAATGTAGATGGTTTTAGTAAGTATCACAGTTAGCGCGCTTCGTGAAAGTTGTGTTGCGAATGTGCAACTGATGGTCAAGGATAAGTCCATTGAAGGTGGTAGCTTCTAAAATTCCCTTTAGAATATCTAAGGCTTTGAGGATGGTGCAGGATAAAATCATCGTTCCATATCACAGGAGGGCTGAAAGAGGGAACAAGTAAAAAAAAACGAGAAGCAACGTAAGCAATGTTTATGAACGAATGCTTAAAATATGATTACTCAGTGTAATTTTGTTTTATAAAAGTATTTGTTAAGAAAGAGCATTTTCATAGGTTGAAGAAAATAAGTGCAAACAAAGTATGGGTGGACATACAACTGACAAATGGGGGCGATTCTGAAAGGAGCTGAGATTATGTGATTATGTATGGTTATAAAATAAAATATAGTGCTAGAAACAGTATTGTGATATAGAATTGATTATCTCCCTTTTATTATTGAAGCTATTGAAGCCCTTTTCATCTTTTTTTTGCATTATTATTTTGGCGAGACTCTAATTTAAGGACGATCTTTGAACGAATCATAAATGACCTTGAAAATTATTAGCCAATCAGGAGACAGTAACTATAAAGTGAAAAAATATTGTAAGTAGGTAATGAATTACAGTGGATATTATTCTTTTACTTGATTTAAAAACTTGTTGAGGTTTCATAAAGGTTAAGAGGTTCTGAATTCATAATGCATATGGTATAGAAATTCGTCCATAGGATTAGGGTTTAGGTTAGGGTTGTAGCTTCTCAACAAACACCTCTTCTATAAAATCCGACGTCAACCGATCGCATGTAAGCACCCTGACCCCTAACGCACCCTAACCTTGACCCTAAACCCAAACCTTAACCCTAACATATACCCCAACCTAACCCTAAACCCTAACTTAACCCTAAACCCTAACCTAATCCTAACCTTAACTCTAACCTAACACTAAACCCTTACCTCAATCCTAACCTAACTCTAATCTTAAACCTAACCCTAACCCTAACCTAACCTCAACCTTAACTCTAATCTTAAACCTAACCCTAATCCTAGCCTATAACCATAAACCCTAATTCTATGGACGAGTTTCTATACCATATGCATTATGAATTCAGAACTTCTGAGCATTTATCAAACCTTAACAAGTTTTTAAATCAGGTAAAAGAAGATTATCTACTGTAATTCATCACTTTCTTGTAATAAATTTTTACTTTATATTATCTTCTATTTGTCTAATAATTGAAATTGCTCAAACGCTTCTCATTGGCTCATCCCCAGATTAGAGTCTCGCCGTCCCATCTGTTGTAACCTTCATTAATCACCTACTCTCTAAAATCGGCTGTGAACCAACCGTATGTTAGCA